TGGCAACACGGCGGCCTAGGCCCCATGCAAGGCCAAGCCAACCACTTCAACCGCTTCGCCAAAGAACGCATCCCCTACGGCATGCAGCGCTACACGGGCGAAACCGAGCGCCTCGTCGGCATCCTCGACCACCAACTCAAAGACCACGACTACCTCGTCGGCGACAAGTACAGCATCGCCGACATTGCGAGCTTCGGCTGGGTCCACATGCTCGCCTTTACCGGCGTGGACATGGAGCAGTTCCCCCACGTGAAGAAGTGGTGGGCGCGCCTGTTGGAGCGGCCCGCGGTCAAGAAGGGGCTGGATCTTACGGGCAAGAGCCAGTTTGGCAATGACGTGTACTGGCAGAGACTCAAGGAGGACAAGGAGTTTGCGGAGAGTGAGAGGAAGCTCATGGAGCAGATTAAGGCGGCCAAGGAGCAGTATGGGTACAAGTACTCTTCGCCGTAGAGCTGTAGCTGTAGTTGGAGTGGCTAGATGGTTGTGAATAAGATTAGAAGCTGGGGATTTATGTCCTAGACACTTCTAGGCATATGTCCATATGGTTGTGATGACTTGCTGATACTAGAGTATATCAAATCGCATTTGACACTTTCACTAGACTTTACCCCAAGCCTTGACAATTGATCGATAGACCAAGAGTTGATTAACACATCATTCACCTGATTCTTCGTACACTGGTAGATTCCCAGACGAATACAATTCTATTTTATTACCAGATTAACAATCCATAGCTTAGTTTTTAGTTACTTTTATCACTTTCATTTCTGACCTCTAACTATACGACCTATAACCATACCACATACATGCAAGCACATCCATCCATCTCTACACACTATTACATCTAAAAATCTTACTCTCTACTATCCACAAAACCCAAGACTTGGTTTAGACGCATGGTTGTTACGTTGTAGCCTGTCGTATAGTCTAATAGCTTGATCTATGCTAGGATTAGAACTGTGGGGTTGCTTGTTGTTTGGCTTGGGTAGGGGTTGTGGGTGAGTAGCGGATAGGGTGGGTGGGGTAGAATGAGGGGGGATGGGGGTTTTAGTGGGTTGCTACTTTGTGTGGTTCTCGAAACCCCGTCTAACACTTCCCGTCATCCGCCTGGTGGTGGCCTGG